GCTGAGGGGAGAGGAGCAGGGGGAGAGACCTTGTGCCTGCCCACGCTGGGCAGGAGCTGCCCCAGGATGGCAGCTCTGAAGCACTCCCAGCATGTCCCTGGCAACAGCAGGGCAAGACTGGATTTCCAAATCAGGCTGGCAATGCAAAGAGCAGGAGTGTCCTGGGGTCACTGCAGGAGAGTTCCAGCCATGCAGCAAGGGCACAGAAGAAGTGACCCAGTCCATGCAGTGGCCTCAGAAGATTCCACAGCATCCTGGAGATGCTGTCAGGGAGCCCAGCTCTGCTTCACAAGTTCCCAGTGCCTGTCCCTGCCTGTGCTCAAAGGGCTCCCACCCCCAGGACTGTGCTCAGAGAGCACTCAGGCCTTGCAGCCAGAAAAGGGCTCAGGAGGACAGTGTGGGAGTGGAAAGAGCAGCTCTGCAAAGCCCAAGCTGTGCTGCTCCCTGGCAGTGCTGCTGTGCTGGGATTCTTGTCCCCTTGCCCTTTGCAAATCCCCCCTGTCCTGCAGTGTGCTGTCCTTTAGGAACAGCTGAGAAGAAGGGTCTTGGACAAAGAAGGCACTGTAGGATCCTTTATTTTGTTTAAATACTCAGAGAGCACCATGCATCATTTATACATCTTTGGGTAAAATTCAATGAGTAGACACTAAATTAGAAGGCAGATACATAATTGTATCTCATTGTACAGAAAATTATTGCAAGAAGGACCCGATGACCTCCAGGAAAACCTGAGCAGAAAGACTGGGTCATTAAGGAGTCCCGTTCTGAATGCTACACACCAAAAGACAGGCATCTTATTGCTCCTGAAAAGCATCCAGTTATCGTTTTCCTCAGGGCATCCCTGAGCTCCTGGTTCCTCAGGCTGTAGATGAGGGGGTTCAGGGTTGGAGGAACCACCGAGTACAGAACTGACAGGGCCAGATCCAGGGATGAGGAGGAGATGGAGGGGGGCTTGAGGTAGGAAAATATGCCAGTGCTGACAAACAGGGAGACCACGATCAGGTGAGGGAGGCACGTGGAAAAGGCTTTGTGCCGTCCCTGCTCAGAGGGGATCCTCAGCACAGCCCTGAAGATCTGCACATAGGAGAAAACCATGAAAACAAAACAGCCAAATGCTAAACAGGCACTAACCCCAAGAAGTCCCAGTTCGCTGAGATAGCCTGAGTGTGAGCAGGAGAGCTTGAGGATCTGTGGGATTTCACAGAAGAACTGGCCCAGGGCATTGCCCTGGCACAGGGGCAGGGAAAATGTATTGGCTGTGTGCAGCAGAGAATAGAGAAACACACTGGCCCAGGCAGCTGCTGCCATGTGGGCACAAGCTCTGCTGCCCAGGAGGGTCCCGTAGTGCAGGGGTTTGCAGATGGCCACGTAGCGGTCGTAGCACATGATGGTCAGGAGGGAAAACTCTGTGGAGATGAAGAACATAAAGAAAAAGGTCTGTGCAGCACATCCTATGTAGGAGATGGTTGTGGTGCCCCAGAGGGAGTTGTGCATGGCTTTGGGCACAGTGGTGCAGATGCAGCCCAGGTCTGTGAGGGAGAGGTGCAGCAGGAAGAAGTCCCTGGGGGTGTGCAGGTGCTGGTCGCAGGCTACGGCGCTGAGGATGAGGCCGTTGCCCAGGAGGGCAGC